GAGTGCTTTGTTTCCAGACTTATAAATAATGGGTCTAGGCGACCGCCTTTTTACATTGGTTATACAAAAGTCAAAAGCCAATTCAAATAAAAGTTTCATTATTTTAATGTGTATAAACGTTTCATTATTTTAATGTTTATAAAAGTTTCCATTTATTTTATTTTAATGCTTATAAAAGTTTGAAATATTTTATCTATATTATTTAATAAGTTATTAATTTATCAGACTTACTTTTTTTTTTTTTATTTGAAAATGTATACATCGCGAATATTTAGGGCTTGATTGTTTATGAAATAATTTGTTCAAAATAAGTTATTTTGGCTAACTATAGTTAATTTTGAAAATGTAGTATAGTTAGTTGTTAGTGGAATTTTAAGAATGTATTAAAATAATATTTAAAATAAAATAATTAAAATTGATTCGATATAAAAGTAAGAGATAAATGATTGATGATTGGAAATGATAGGTAGTTAAAAAAATGTGAGTTGATGAATAGTGCGTTAAAGCTTATGTGATGTGTAAGAATAATTGATTTGTATTATGTAATTATATGAATAATATTAAAGATAGTGGGGTTGAGTTAAAGTTGAGTTAAATTTTGAGTTGAAATAAAAGTGAGTAAATTATTCTATAAACAAGTAAGCCCTTATTTTTCTTCATCGTGAATATTTTATTTTTCTTCAAAGCATTAGGTATTTTTCAATATGCCACCTTTTATCAATATGCCACCTTTTTCTTCAAATTATTCTATAAACCTCCATAAACCTCCTTTTATACTTCTCAATATGCCACCTCATTCAAAACTTCATTTTTACTCCTATATCATAAACCTCCAATAACAATAAACTCCATAAACGTATTTTTTATGGGTCCCACATGTTTCACACTTACTTTTAATTAATATTACGGAAATTTCCTTATAAATCCCCACTCCATAAATCAACTTCCTCCTCAGTCCCCAATACTTTTATTCTTCCTCCTCAGTCCCCAATTTAAAATTTTCTTTCCTTATCACTCCCCATATATAAAATGATATTATTATTTTCCATTTAATTTGTCTGAAAAACTCGTCTCTCTCTTCATTCTTATTCTCTGCTCTCTCTCTCTCTCTCTTCTGCCGCTCTCCAAAAGAAAAATAAAACGCAGACTCTTCAAAATCTCCAAACCCCATCCCAACTCAAACTTGTTGTTTTGTTTCAATTGCTTGTTTTTCCTTTCAAATCTGATCCCCAAAATCCCCATTGTATTTCAAAACCCACCTCAAGGACCAATATGAAGTCATTGTTCAAGTCCAAGCCCAAAAATTGGGCTGATTTGATGCGGCAATCGCAATTTGCTCGTCTTCCTGTTTATCACCTTATGATCTGATTTGTTGATTTCTTGTGAGTTTCTTTTTATTTTAATTTATTTTTTCTGTAGCTTCTTCGTAGGTTGATGCTTAGCTTTACCTGTTTTATTTTCAATTTTCTTTAACTGAATTTAGGGTTTCTGGGTTAGATGAATTAGTGGTTCACGTAGTTTGTGCAGATCTAAAAATAAAAAAATAAAAAAAAAATAAAAAATTGTCAATTAAGCCTACTTTAAGATTCTTCCAGTAATAATTTAGTCAAACATGGATCTTGTTTTTGGTTAATTAGGGTGTAAAAAGATTAGATTGAGTGGATTTGGAACACATGTATGTGTTGCTTAAGCTTGTTTATATTCTAATTTCAGTTTTTATATTTTAATTTGAACTCAGTTTGGCTACCAATTGAATAAGTCAAAATTCAAGAAAGAGTTATATAGAACTTTGTCTCCATTTATACTGTAATAGTCTATTGATGATTTTTCATGTCTTTTACCAAATTGAATTGCTAATGTTTTGTTCAAAAGAGCTCTCTTTTATGCAATTATTCTTCCGTTATAGCCTTTTTTGGGTCGTTTGGGTTCGTGTTATACCCTTTCAGCCCGTATTTTCATCCAGCGGGCCTTTCGGGAAATGTTGTGATCTCTATTATGTTCTGGTTTTGCTAATCAGGTGAATTAGTTGTCCTGTCTTAGTTGGTACTCACACATTTTGTCCTTCCTTATAATATTTTATGTTCTGTCATGTAACTTTTTTTAGGATATTCTGTTTGAGCATCTGTAATTGGTTAGAACGACATTGTGATAGATTTTGGATCTCAAATTGATAGGGCTATTGTCTGTGCAGTAAAATTGATTTTGGTGTATGCTCAATTTGATTTTCTTTCATTTGAGGTTTATTGTTTCTATTGGGTTTTTGGAGGTGTAAGTTAAAGTGTTTCCCTTTTGCTTTATATTCTTTTGGGGTTATTGATCTTGTTGTTAGGTAATGTGTAATCTGTAAGCAGGTTGGGTAGTGATTTTGATTTAGTTCCCTCTATTTTCAACCACTCAAGTTATGCTATTTTACTCTCTCTTGTGTGTCTTTGTGTAGATGATGGAATTGGGGAAATATATCCAGCATTTTAGACAAATTATTTATGGAGACAGTCAATCCGAACCCCTTTCCGATGCTTGTGCACATATGACTCAAGAGTTTTTTTGGGAGGATACCCTTTGTCTGTTTATTGTATATCTTCCAGGGGAACTTCGAGGTACTTTTGGAGAATTTCAACACTGCCAAAGTGTGTTGTGTGCTTTTTGTTAAGAATTAAATTATTCTGCTGGCATCTAAAATATATTGAATTTTAATGTGCCAGTTCTTTCCCATGATGATTGAATGATAAACGCGACGAGTAATTAGTTAAATATTTTCAGGTCCGCAAGAATTCTACCCAAATTGTAGCGAATCTGCAGAGGCAACAAGTTCAATGCAGGCTGATTGCTTGTGATTATTTGTACAAGAACTTAGACCTCCTCGACGGTCTCGTAGCAGGATAGGTTTGCAATGAAAGATGTTAGACCTCTCGAGTCTTTTGGTTATGTTATGCAATCAATATAAGCTAGTCGAGTACATTACACATTTTAAGAATTTGATATGAATTGAGATTTTTCAAATTTAGTACCAGTGATATTGATATATAGTACTTGTTTCTATTCAATTAGTACCTACTTTAGTCAATAGAAATGGATTACTGTAATTTCTGTCAACGTTTGTGAAATTAGTACCAGTCCTATAGTTAAACAGTGCTCATTAAATAGTGGTTTAGTACCCAATATCGGGTTTCAGTACCAACTCCAACGAATATATATAACACCAAATTTTAGTCTTAAATGATGTTTATATTACTCAAAATCACTCACACATTCGTTTCTATGAGATTCAAAATGTGTTTAATTAAGTTTCATCGCAAATTGGTCTTGAACTCAAAACACTAATGAACAAACACTACTAATACACTTCAGCTCATTGAATGATCATACACGATTACTCTAAATTCTACCTATGTTTTTAAATTCGACTATTTTTGACAACATCATGCGTGAACGATCAACGTGACATGGTAGACATGACGGATTAAAGAAATCACGATTAATAAATAGGTACCAGTTTTACAACAAACAGTACCAATAGTTCTTTTACGCAGTACATGATTTTCATCAATTAGAACCTACCTTGGTTAAGAAAAATGAATTATTCAATTTTTGTCAACATTTGTAAAATTTGTACCAGCCCTAGAGTTAGATAGTATTCATTAAATGTTACCAGATATCGGGTGTTCGGTACCAACTCAAGCGAACATAAAGAATTACTGAATTTCAATAGTAAATGATGTTTGTATGACTCAAAATCACTGGCATATTTGTGTCTATGAGATGCTGAAAGTGTTTAACTAAGTTTCATCTCAAATTGGTCATGAACTCAACACGTTAATGAACAAACACTACTAATATACTTCATCTCATTAGATTATCATACATGACTACTTTAAATTCTACCTATATGTTTTAAATTCAACTATTTTTCAATCAAATCATGCGTGAATGATCCACGTGACATGGTAGACATGATGGATTAAAGAAATCACGATTAGTAAAATGATACCAGTTTTAAAAAAAATAATACCAATAGTTCTTATACGAAGTACCTGTTTTTAATCAATTAGTACCTATTTTGGTCAACTAAAATGAATTTACTTCAATTTTAGTCAACATGTGCAAAATTAGTACCAACTCTAGACTTAAATAGTACCCATTAAATGGTGTTCTAGTACCAATTGTATATTATCGCAGTACCTGATATTGAGTCTTTAGTACCACTTGTAATGAACACATAAAAACACTGAATTTCAGTCTCGAATGATGTTTCTATGAACCATAATCACTTTCACATTAGTTTATATGAGATTTAAAATATTTTAAATTGAGTTTAATCGTGAAATGGTCATGAACTCGACGCACTAATGATAAATCACTACTAATACACTTCATTCCATTGAATGACACACTTCATCTCATAGAATCATCATACATGACTACTCCAAATTCTACCTATATGTTTTAACTTCCACTATTTTTCGTTCAAATCACGCGTGAACGATCCACATGTCATGGTAGACATGTAGGATTAGAGAAATCACGATTCTTAAAATAGTACCTGTTTTAGCCAATATAGTACTGCATCTTCTTCTACGTGGTACCAGTTAATGATCAATTAATACCAAGTTTTAGTCAACAAATATGGATTATTCAATTGGTGTCACATTTGCAACAATTGGTACCAAACCTAGAGTAAGTTAGTATCATCTTTCGGTGTTATAGTACCAGATATTTGGTCTTTAGAACCACTTGTGATGAACACATAAAAACACTGAATTTCAGTCTCGAATGATGTTTATATGAACCATAATCACTCTCACATTAGTTTATATGAGATTTAAAATGTTTTAAATTCAAATTAATCGTAAAATGGTCATGAGCTCGACGCACTAATGAGAAATCACTACTAATACACTTCATTCCATTGAATGACACACTTCATCTCATATAATCATCATACTCCAAATTCTACCTATATGTTTTAACTTTCACTATTTTTCGTTCAAATCACGTGTGAACGATCCACGTGTCATGGTAGACATGTAGGATTAGAGAATTCACGATTCTTAAAATAGTACCTGTTTTAGCCAATATAGTACTGCATCTTCTTCTACGTGGTACCAGTTACTGATCAATTAGTACCAATTTTTAGTCAACAAATATGGATTATTCAATTGGTGTCACATTTGCAACAATTGGTACCAAACCTAGAGTAAGTTAGTACCATCTTTCGGTGTTATAGTACCAGATATTTGGTCTTCAGAACCACTTGTAATGAACACATAAAAACACCGAATTTCAGTCTCGAATGATGTTTATATGAACCATAATCACTCTCACATTAGTTTATATGAGATTTAAAATGTTTTAAATTCAAATTAATCGTAAAATGGTCATGAGCTCGACGCACTAATGAGAAATCACTACTAATACACTTCATTCCATTGAATGACACACTTCATCTCATAGAATCATCATACTCCAAATTCTACCTATATGTTTTAACTTTCACTATTTTTCGTTCAAATCACGTGTGAACTATCCACGTGTCATGGTAGACATGTAGGATTAGAGAAATCACGATTCTTAAAATAGTACCTGTTTTAGCCAATATAGTACTGCATCTTCTTCTATGTGGTACCAGTTACTGATCAATTAGTACCAACTTTTAGTCAACAAATATGGATTATTCAATTGGTGTCACATTTGCAACAATTGGTACCAAACCTAGAGTAAGTTAGTACCATCTTTCGGTGTTATAGTGCCAGATATTTGGTCTTTAGTACCACTTGTAATGAACACATAAAAACACTGAATTTCAGTTTCGAATGATGTTTATTTGAACCATAATCACTCTCACATTAGTTTATATGAGATTTAACATGTTTAAAATTAAGTTAAATCGTAAAATAGTCATGAACTCGACGCACTAATGGGAAATCACTAATAATACACTTCATTACATTGAATGACACACTTTATCTCATAGAATCATCATACATGACTACTCCAAATTCTACATATATGTTTTAGTTTTCACTGTTTCTCAGCCAAATCACGTGTGAAAGATTCACGTGGCATGGTGGACATGGAGGAATAAAGAAATCTTCATTACTAAATGGTACCAGTTTTGACAAAAATGGTACCACTTCTTGTTCTGCGTAGTACCTGTTTTTAATCGATTGGTACCTACTTTTGGTCAGCGAAAATGAATTACTTCAATTTGGGTCAATATTTGCAAAAATTAGTATCAGACCTAGAGTAAGATAGTGCCAGTTTTTGGTGTTTTAATACCAGATA